GTTAATATGACGCGCAAGCAGGGAGCTTAGATAGTCTAGGAACTATATGGATTTCATTTGGACCTGGAGCAAAAAAGGATAACTCCCGGAAACACGCCAATAACTGCTAGTTTTTTTGGGTTTTTTTGTCCAAATACTTCTGTTTCTTTGATGAGCAAAATACTGTTAACAAATGCAAGTAGATGTCCTTTTTAAGAGCAAACCTTCGCATGATAAATACATATTTATGGACTCCTATCAGTCCATCTCCAGAGCAATAATGTGCAGAACTGCACAGGTCATAATGATGTCCATTATCAGCCACATTTCTCCTGCTAATCCAAGACGGACTCATTTTTCCTCCCCTTCCTTAGCACTGAATGGTGGTTGGGTTTGCATGCTCGTCTTAGTGACCTCATACTGAAAACATCCTGCTGTAACGAATTACAGATTGGAAGACAAAACAGTTTTAGGATGCAGCTTTGGAAAAAGATAGTTTAAAACCTGCTTAGTCAGGAGTTCCTGGAGTTTAATGCTCTGTTCATTGAGGTAAACTAGAAAAATGATCTAGAAATAAGTAAAAATCTCTTAAATTAAGTGTATTTACCCTTAATGTGGGTATGTAAATTAGATGGTCTGCCAATGGATTTAGTATTTTTACTTTTCAAATAAGATATTTAAATAAAAATCACTTGAAATAGGTCAATGCAATTGTGTTTTCTTATTTTAAATGTAAATTATCTTTTTCCATTGGCAAAAAGTCTCATTTACCTCCTCAATTCAAGAAAAAGTACTTATTTTAAGAAAAAAATGACTGATCTAGATTTAGATTTTTTGCAGTGTAGTCTGGATTCATACATCAGCTGTTTCAGCAGCTAAAATATCTCGACACTTCTTAAACTCTGCTTAGAATCTAAATATTTTTGTAATGAAGTCCAAACTCCTTGTAAACTGTTGCGTGCTTCTGTTATTTTTCACATAATTTATAATTATTACCCACAATTAACACAACGCTAATCCTTTTTTACCATGTAGACTAAAAAGTCTCCAACACAGCCTGATTCCCACACACTGCATTCCAATTGGTTCTAACTATGGTGTGTTGCTGTCTTGCCTCAGACCGGTTGCTCTTTTCTTTCTCTCTCTTTTTTTTTTTTTTTTTTTTTATAAACATCACCCTTTCACCTTCTACTTCTGTTTTTCCAGCTTTTCCAAAAAGCTTTGTCTGGCTTGCTTCCCTTTATCCTGTGCATGTATCCAAAACAAATCCTCACCGGGAAATCAGCACGCCCTCTTCCCATCAGACCCGTGTTGCATCACATTTTCATTTGTCAAGTGTTTGTCTGCATGTTTTTACTAAAATCCGTTTTGACTTAGGTGAAAACATAAAAAACTTAACTGAAAATATTTTTTCTCTGCTTTTGACTACTTGTAGCTTTTTCACAAAATAAAGCTGAAACAGTTTAGATTAAAAGCTGATACTTTGTGAACTTGATGAAAATGACCTTGCAGTGTGAGTTCAGACATCACTAGAAGTTTTTTCCCTCTCTAAAACCTTGTTTAAAAGGAAACATTTTAGAGGTTTCTCTTGTCTGGAATTTCCTCTATTCCATCCTCCTCAAAATGCAAACTCTTACTTCTCGCCCTGCAATTGGCTTCTAGACATTTTATCAGTTTTAGACTATTAAAAACTTCACCTTCTGAGTTATTAAAGCAAAGCAACATAATGATTCGGTCTCTTTCTGGTAACTGCCTCTAATCGACGCTTCTTCTGTCTCCAGGCAGTGTAAAGTTTATTGACTATGAGTATGCAGGCTACAATTACCAAGCCTATGATATTGGGAATCATTTCAACGAGTTTGCAGGTAAGTGATTCTATATGACGGCAAATATGTCCTCCTGCTGTGGAGAAAGTCTCTAACATCCTCTGTTCACTAAATGTTTTAGGCCTGAATGAAGTGGACTATAGTCACTACCCGCAGCGGGCCTTTCAGCTACAGTGGCTCCGCTCCTACCTGGAGGCATACAAGGAGCACAAGGGTCAGGATGGCGAGGTTACTGACAAAGAGGTGGAGATTCTTTATGTTCAAGTCAACAAATTCACCTTGGTAAGTGTCTGAGTGATTAAATGTGAGGTATGATCCAACAGAACATTAGCCCTTTAGTCCCAGAACTCACTCCTAGTGTAGAGGAGTGTTTTTACTGCATCAATATACCATATTGATCATATAAGAAAGTTTCAGCTTTACTTCCTCCACTGTTCTTAGTAAAAGTATCTGACAGGGACTCTATTAATAGCTAATGATTATTCATTTTAAAGACTTCAAGGAAAACAAACCTGTGGTTAAAATGGCGGCGGGGCTCGCCATGGAAGTGTTATGTCTCATCTGTTGTTAAATATTAGTTTACCTTGTTGTACCAACAAGCTTTCTTGTTCCAAAACAATAGGAAAGATGAAGCTGCTGAAAATCCTTGGGGCTCTTTTTTTTTTCTCACTATGACCCCTGCTGCAACAATAAACATTTCAGTGGATGTGGGTTAAACAGTAGATGGACAGGACAGCTACCTTGCTAGCATCTTTATTCTGAGAGGTTTCTGGTTTTTTGCCGTAACACAGGGCAAACGTGGAGCGTGGGTGGATGAAGCATCTCTCACCTGTTTAGTAAATAGAAAGTGACCTTTGATATTCTTGCTGCTTTGTTTCCAGGCGTCTCATTTCTTCTGGGGTCTCTGGGCTCTAATACAGGCCAAGTTCTCCACCATCGACTTTGACTTCTTGGGGTAAGTTTCTATCCTATGATAAGCTCTGATTCTTTTAGGATCTGTGCTGCGGCAAGCATATAATTTCTGCCATTTCAGCAACTTATTTGGGTACAGAATATCTTGTTCTGTATATTTTTTATCTCCTTGCTGACGCTGTTCTGTTATTTTTTGTTCTACCTGAAGATATGCAACGCAGCGTTTCAAGCAATACTTCAAGATGAAACCAGAGGCAGCTGCACTGACGTTACCATATTAAAAGCAGCTCCTGTTCTTTAATCTTCCTGCTTTCTCCCTGCTCCTCATATGATGACTGCAGGGCGCCCTCTAGAGGACTGCCTGAAGAATAAATCCACTTGAAATTCCTGTTTTGTCCATTTTCAGAGACTGGATAGAGAGCGGTCCGATCATCTGCAAATGCTGGAAGTCACTTTTAAGATGGACAGATTTAAACCCTTTTATAATGTGATGCACATGTGGCTAAATCGCTTTTTTATTTAGTAGTTTCTATTGTGTCTTGGATGTGAACATCAGATCATTATACTGTACTTCGTACCTTTTCGAGACGGTAACCTTTTATAGGTGACCTGAACACTAATTTGATTGTTTTTAGAGATGAAATGAAGGCAGCATCAAGCTCCGCCCCCTTTCTCAGTTGCTCTCCTCTGGTTCACTAGAGTAGCACCACTCTGCAGCTAGTTGGGACCTGCTGTTTTTGTCTCCTACAGGTTGTAGGGAAGCATTTAGTGTTTACTTCTGAAGTCGCCACTGAGTTGAAGAGTTGTGCATCACTTTAGTGCAGATTTCTCCCTTACTTTGGCACTTAACTGATTTACATATTAATGGCTTCCAGGAAGGCACCTCAGAGGAATCGGACCATTCCATGTTCATAAGGTCAGTCATACGATAGGTCAGCAGATTTAACTCTCTAAGAGACTGAGCTCTACTGTTTTAGACTAAACATGACGCTGTCTGTGGTCTCTTTCTGTACTTCATACTGACTGAATCACTCGCTCACAGTGTGATCATTGGATTAATTGAACTTGTGATATTTGAGTTAACATTGGGGTTTGTAAAAATTAATGGTCTGGGAAAATGGGAGGAGCTTGTCTGTTAGGTCATAAAGAGAAAACCAGATTAAACGAATAAAAATAGCACTAGATCTTTACAAAACATTTAGATTAAACGGGATCTAATACATTTAAATTATAACCGTGATAAATTCTGCTGTTAAAAATGTAAAGCTTTACTTATTAGATTTATATTTTATATCATTTGTGTTGTGATACATTCACTAACGGGAAGATACAGGGTGATGATGTATAACACTGACTAGTCTGGAATCTAGCCTGGTCTTGGCTGCTAAACACATGTCATGCTTGTTGCTTTTGCTAACGTCTGTAGATTAAAATAAATGTGAAGCAACAAGTGGGGAAGGGGCAGTGTTGCATTAATCTAAATGTCATACAGCTGGAAAAACTGGTCACTTCAGCAGTTTATCTGGCACCTCATTAAACGGACCATACATTCTAGTTTTTTTATTTTATTTTTTATTTAACATTTCTAATCTTTGACAAATTCCGATGTCACTAAATGCCTGGTTTAAAATTACAATTGGATGAAAATGGCTTTGTACAGTTACTGAAAGCTTTTTGGTAATGAAAACTGATTTCTTTATCAAACAAGCCAACAACAGATTGCTGCCCCTTTGCTCTAATACTGTGTACATTTCAGGACATCAGTGATGTATTTCTTTTTTTTGTTTTCCTAATGATGGAAATCCTGTTTCGCAAACACTGTCCATTAAATTTGGGATTGAATTTATTGAAAATGTTCCTGTTTCTGCACATTACCTGCTTATGAGCAGGTATCCAAGGGTTACACAACTTAGTGAAGCTAAAAGCTTTAAAGCTCACTCTTTAAATTCCTTATCGTTTTTTTGTGACATAACTTCAGAATAAAAGGACAGTTTTAGGTGAACCCAACGCAGTTTAGATTGATGAAAAAGGTTGGAGAGTACTTCGAAGAGTACTCCTATTTTACAAATGTTTAGTAATTATAGGCATTAAACCCATTTCTGTCTCTAAATCTGTGATCTTATTTCTGTTTTCTCATGATTACATTTGTCAATATTTTATTTTCGCTAACCAATGTGCACCTAAATATCTCTCCACTCTTCTATGTACAGCAAGCAGATGGAAAATATCTTTTGTGAATAGAAATGTACATAGCAGATTTATTTTCATTTGTTTTTTTTATTGTTTTAAAGACTGCATCAAATAGAATGATTGCCTCCTGTAAGAGGTTTTCTTGGATGAAATGAAATGATTATGCTTTTTTGAAAATAAATTGTTTACGATTGAAATTGACTGTTTTCTTTGAAGGGAGAAAATCTGAGTACTTCACATTACCTACTAAATATTTCTATCCAATCTGAAACTAATTATCTGCAGGTCCAGAAAGCTTTTACTCAAACATTTAGCAAGCTTTTAACAATGGCAGAGGACCGTCAAGTTGTATTTATATAAACAAGATAGTTCTGAGACTTTGTCACAGATCTACTAAAGCTGTATAAAGACTGGAAAAGATGAGGTAGACTAAGTGGAGAGTGAAAACTTTACAGCATCCATCCATCCATCCATCTTCCTCCGCTTATCCGGGGTCGGGTCGCGGGGGCAGCAGCTTAAGAAGGGACTTTACAGCACTCAACCTAAAATCAGCAAAAATCATAAATCTGCTGTGTTTAGAAAGATGGTGACAGTGATGAGGCTCTGCACCTTCCAAACGTTCAGTCTGGTTATCGTTAAGCGCAGTTGTTGGTCAAAGAGGTTTTATGTTTATTGTTCATTTCACTATTTGGTGCACAACCTTATTGCACCAGAAACCTGATGCTTTAATTAGGTAGTTCCACATATGACCACAGGATGGCGAAACAACCCAACAAAAAAGATAAACACACTGGTTTATCCTAATAAGCAGTCAATACTATCACAAATTGATATGTTTGTGTTCATTCATTTGTAGATGTAACAAAAACAGATGTGATCCAGAGGTTAGGGACCGGGCTTAGGAAGACTTTTTGGTTTGCTGTTCCCTTGTAGATGAAATGACCTACAGAAAAAGTCTAAGGACTTTGCTTGACTGATCCTTCAGTTTCAGCTCCTTGCTCTGTTTTTTTTATATTTTCTTTTTTTTTTATGTTTGGTGATATGGTAACAGATCTGAAACTATCAAGATCCTGTTCTTCCACAATTTTTGAACAGGTTTTCTTACATTTACCATTATCAAAGCTAGTCTGTTCTGGTGTGGTCCTTACTAAACTTAAACATGCAGTAGTTACACCTCTTCTCAAGCATCCAGGACTCGTTCGATCTACATTGTCCAATTAGTCCAAAAGTCTTGAATAAGATCATTTTCTCTCAGCTTAAACATTATCTGCAGGGAAATGACCTCCCTTAAATAATTCAGTCTGGGTTGAAGGCTCGTAATAGGACTGAATCAGCATTACTACAAGGTTTTAATGATATTCTCTTGGCCTGTGATTGTGGTAGCTATACGATTTTACTTCTGTTGATCTAATGGCTATTCTGATAACATGTCTGAATCAGTTAATAGTGATCCAGCACACCGCTCTTAAATGGTTTAGATCATATTGAATGGAACTGATTTTTTATGCTGATTACTCTCATATCTATTTGCCCCTAAAGCAGGAAGATGGCAGGGTTCAAGTCTTTATTGAACTGTTTAGATGACATTAAAGACTGGTTGGCCCTGAACTTCTTAAGAAAACTGAGGTTATGTTGGGGACCCAGTATTCAGGCATGGCATACAGTGGGATTATTCAAAATCATTTAAGATTAAGAAACTCTAGAGGAAACTAAGGTTAGTGACCACGATAACCCTTCGGAGGATGTTATAAATGCAGTTACTAACATGGAGTAGATTACAGTCCGTGCCCAGAGAACGATGTTGATACCAGCCAGTAAGCTGACAAGACGCAGCTGTTGCTACACAGAGAGTTCCAGAAGCCAAAACTTTGGAAACTACAGAACTAACAGGAGATCAGATCCAAGCAGGTAACGGAAGGCAGGATAATCCAGAGGGCGAAGTCAGGAGGCAGATCCAGGTACAATCCACAAATAAAGTCCAACAGAATCCCAAGACAGGTCAGGCAAATGGATCAGAACAGGGGCAGCCAGGCTCAAAGGTCCAAAGACAAAACGGGTCAGGATCAGGCATTCAGAACACAAACTAGTAATGCTAGAAACACACTCACCACATGCTGGAGAGAAATAATCTGGCTCTGATGACTGGGAGCAAGCAGTTTAACCCTCTCCAGGCAGATGTTGCAGATTTGCAACAGCTAAATGCTACTTAGCTAATTACTCCACATCCATATATTTTAAGAGCTTTTGTTACTCAGAAGTACAACAGAAGACTTAGTTGTGCATTTGCACCAAACAGTTTCTCTCCAGCTCACCAGATAGCACTGCTGACTCACTTTCTACATGGCTGAGTCCTTGGTGTCACTGAAACAGATTTTCTAAGCACCAATTTAATGTAAGTATCGCTACCATATGTATAGATATGACACATGCCAATTAGTAGATTTTATCTAATCTGGGTTTTTCACCAGAGGCATCTCGATTTCAATGTTGTGGATTTGCAACGTGTGCCCAAACCGGTACTAATGGATGCTACATGCTTTGTCTACTAGTTTGCCTATATTTTGAGCAACAGTTTGACAGAAATGGCCTTCTCAAGAGGTTTTGAGATGTCGGTGGAGAAAAAGATGGAGAAAAAGTTGTCTCTAATTTTGTGAGAGAACATTTTTTTTTCTAACTTTGTTTTGAATTTTTGTTTGTGACATTCTAATAAAGTTAATGTTCATATCAGATTCAGTCTTCAGTGTTAATTTACCACTCCGGGCCACTGTTGCAAATCTGCAACATCCCAGAATTCCTTGCATGTGAAGGTCTCTAAAAAAAAAGTCTGAATTGTATATTACTACCCTATATTATCATTTTCTCAAAATATCAGATTTTTCCTGCAACTACAACTTAATTTGAGTCATAGAGGGCTAAATAAAGACAGTTGGACAATTGGACAGGTGAACGAAATGAGTAATTAAGCCCGTCATCAGTGCCAAGATCATGACAGGCCTAATTGCCTTTTTGATTCCTCTACTATAGACCTAGGAAGTCCTCACACCATATTTTAAATCGACCATCACAAATTGGGTTTTTAAGGTGGACAGTGATTTTAAATTGGACAAAAAAATTGCAGCCAGTCAGATATTGCTTTTATCAGTTAAGACAATTGGCAAAAGCCTTTTCTTTCATGGCAACCCTTTGAAACAGTTATGCTTTTATTTCATTTTGGCTGGATTACTGTAACTGTGCCAGTCTTTGCTGTCTCGCTTACAGCTGGTGCAAATTGCAGCTGCTCGTCTTTTAACTGGAACTCCAAAATACGATGTCCTGGCTTCACTCCACTGGCTGCCTGTGCATTTTAGAATTAATTTAAAATTCTTATCTTTGTTTCAACAAGTTTCTTCCAGTTAAAATAAAAGTAAGAAAAATAAAATGTTTAAGAAACTTTACACTCCGTTTATTTGTTACACTCCCCCATCCTCTACTAAGGATTTTAGCTCTCCAGACATTTTGGGTTAAATGTAATAAGTTTAAGTAAATGCAGTAAGGGAAATAAAACAGAGAGTAATCGTACACTGTATGGTTAAATTCATGCCTCACATCCCAAAACCAAACAAATAACTTCTATTTTCTCCAAGCGAATCAAACCCACTCTTCGTCTTCCTAATATGAGCACCGTCTTATACGGTGAAACGATTACAACAGTGCATTATCCAACTCACTGACTGTAATTCAATTATCCTCCTCCCCCCGGCTTCATCCAACCAGATAATACACACATTAATTAACAACAGAATCCAATATCGCCTGTTCTGCGCCTCCACTTATTTTCATTTCCAATAAAAAGGTCACAGCAGCCACTTCCCACCGAAGACAATTAGTGTAAGTGTGTAGTAATGGATTACGCTTGTAAATCACCAACAGCCCAAAGAGGGTGACAGGGAGCGGAAAAGTGAGCCCGGCAGTATTAGGAGGTGGCGGCCTGGGAAAACGGAGGTGCTGAAGTGTCATTTCAGAGAACTCATTAAGCAAAATCTCCGGGAGGTGGATGTTCTGCATAACGTGCTTCACGCGGACAGAAAGAGATTATTATTTTGTTTAGGTTCAACAAGACATCAGAGAAGTTAACGTCTTCGTGGTGCAAACAGTGACACACAAATCAGTCATCAATCCAGTGTGAGGTACGATTAAAGGTTTGCTATAAATAAAGTGTAATTACCCTTAATTTGAGTAGGTAAATTAGATAATTTTCCAATGGAATGAGTATTTTTACTCTTAAAATAAAATATTTAGATATAATGCACTTGAAAAAAGACAATGCAATCGTGTTTTCTTATTTTAAATATAAACCGTCTTGTTCTATGGGCAAAATGTCTCTTTAACCTTCTCAATTCAAGAACAAATGCATGTGCTCTCTTCATCCTCTGACATGGGAGCTGGTCTGCCTGGCTGTGTGTTTCCTGGACTGGGCTGCCTTTAATAGCTGCTTTTTGTATCTCTGCTTCTGTCTCCTTGAACCCCAGTCGGCCTCGGAAGATGGCCGCTCACGCTGAACCTGGTTCTGGTGGAGATTTCTTCCTGTTAAAGGGGATTTTTCCTCTCCACTGTCGCTACAAGGATTGCATTTGAGTCAATGAGTTAGTGCAATCAACTGGTTTTCTTTTGGTAGAAAACTTTGTATCAATTTGACCGTATGATCAGATGAACTGTAAAGTGCCTTGA